CCCCAAAACCCCAAAACCCCAAAACCCCTTCATCATGAACCCTGGTTGAAATCTATAATAATTTCTTCAGTGAAACTAAAATGGGTAAGTAAATATTTCTTAAAGTTCTATTCTCTCTTCGAACAGCTCTAAAGCTTTCATCTCTTCTTAGAATACAACCTCTAATATTCCATTTTTTCATTTCAAAGGAGTCTAGATTCCTATCTTACTCTTAAATTCCTTGCTAAAAAGTCACTCTTCAAAATCACTCTAGAGATATTTCTGATATTAATCTTTCTTAAAAATCGATTTTCTAACCTAAACTCCAATTCTGAAATGGCCTAGCCAGCCTTCTCAGCTGAGAAGGGTAGCCACTGCATATCTCTGAACCCCATCCTTATTTTACTTATAGAGGACTTTGAATTAGCCTTTGAAGAAAAGGTGAAAATCAAGAAGAACCCAATTCTCAACGAGATTCTTAAGAAAGAAGTTGAATATGATTACACTGCTGATCCTAATTTTGACTTCAATAACCGGCAGGTCGAAACTGTTGAAAAGAATGCTAATGTTAGTGAGAGGATCTCTCTACAGCTTATTGAGAGCAGAAGGGAGTCGATGTTTATCAGCCAAGAGTGAGCTATCCAGGTCCCAAACAGCCTTGCCAAACATGACAATTTCGATTCATTAGCGACTGGGATAAATGAAGCAGAAGTTAAAGAGGAAGATTTCTTCGAACCTTACGGGGAAGAAGTGTTTGAAGATAAGACAAGAAATATTGATCCATACAGACAAACTATTACTGAGGAGCTGGAGGAAAAGAAACCAGCTAAGATGGTACAGAGACCCAAGCTTAAACTTAAAGATGCCTGTGACCAATATGGATATACTTTTAATATGAATGATTTGGATAAAACTAAAGTTCTGATAGGTAAAGGAGGTTACGGAGAAGGTATTTTAGAAAAGCTTTTAACTATATATAGTGTTCCTTGTACATTGCAAGCTTAATTTCCAAAAATATGCAATGAAAAGACTATTTAAAGAAATTATCACCAATTCAGGGCTAGGTAGACTAATAATGCGTGAGAAAGAAATCACTGACGAGCTTGAGCATCCAAATATTGTGAGACTTGAAGGATATTTTCACGATTCTGATTATTGTTATTTTCTATTCGAACTTTGTCCAATTGGAAACCTTAGGACCCTCATCACAAATTTCGGTTCTCTAAGTGTAAATCTGACTAGGTTTTATATCATGGAGATAATTAATGCCTTGGTATATTTACGAGACAATAAGGTTGTCCACCGTGACTTGAAACCCCAGAATCTTCTGCTAGATGATACACTACATATTAAGCTATGTGATTTTGGAGCAGCCAAAAAGTACGATGCTGAAGAAGTTGATTACGCTATCCAAGAAGATACTGAGCTTATGGATGACAAGACAGAAGTCGAGGAAAGCTCAGACTCTGACTCTGATAGTGACATCAGCGATGATGAGTTTGAAAAACTCCAAAAATTAAAAGTTCAGAGAGAAGAATCAAGAAAGAGAGTAAAGTATAAGAATTTATTAATAGAACACTCATATTGGAACACCTTTATATCTTAGTCCTGAAATGTTGATGAGTCATTTGGCTTGATTCAGTTCAGACCTTTGGGCACTTGGCTGTATCATTTCTGAGTGCCTTACAGGCAACGCTTTGTTTAGAGGCAAACAAAAATGGGAGATTGAAGATAAAATTAGAAACAATGATTTCCCAATCCCTGATCAAATTGATAAAGATGCGAGGGATTTAATCAAAAAGTTACTTAGAAAATGACCATTTAAAAGACTTGGTGCAGGAGTTGATGGATCTAAGTATTCTCTTGAAGAACTCAAAAAGCACCCATTCTTTAAAGGAGAAAGCTTTGATGACATTTCTTCAAGAGTTCCACCTTTTACGAATGAAGAAATAGAAAAATACTGATCTAAATATTCAAAAGACAATGAGTTGGCAAATTATGAGTAAGGATTAGCTTTTATGTATATAGATCCGGGGAAGAGAACATTGATACTCTATCAATTCATGCAGTTAAGCCACTCAATTCATATCCGAACAAACTCTCTAGTATCAAGAAAGATTCAGGAATTTCGTTTGAATGCCCAACTGGACCATCTAAATTAATTAAGAATCTGAGCAATAACAATAAACTAGCAGCAAAAAGGAATTACAAAATGCAGGATCTTGATTTCAGGTCGACTCAATAGATCTCTCCAGTAGTGTATAACTTAATGGAAAACAGTGAAAAACCTTATGATACAGTGACACTTAAAGCAGCTGGAAAGGCTATGGAGAATCTGGTCCCTCTAGTGGAGATCCTTAAGAGAAGGATCAAGGGGCTCCACCAACTTAACAGTATTAACCCAATAACTGAGCAAAAACCAGATGGATCAGAAAGACAGTATCTCATTTTTAAAGTAATTTTATCAAAGGAAAAACTCGAAGATAATGGAATCGGGTACCAAGAACCAATTCCTGAAGACCAAGTTAAGGAATATTGGGAGCCAGAATTCGATGATAGAGATAGCTATAGACCGAGAGGGTTCGCAAGAGGGAGAGGCTATTATAACGGAGGATACAGACATTATCATAACCCATATTCTGAAGAATATTACGGGGATTGTGATAATCATTACCAGAGAGATCAAGAATATCCCCCTATAGGATACAATGAAGAAGGCGACACTGAAGAAGGCTACACTGAAGAAGATAACCAGAGTTATAACGAAGAAGGTAATTATGACACCTATAAAAAGCCATCAGTAATAAGAGGCTACAGAGGAAGCAGAAGGCCTGTATTACACTAAGTGTTCTCTTCCTATAAGCTTTGATGTCCTTAACTTATGGAATAGTTTCCAGTTTTTGGTAACTCCTAAGCTCTAATTTTTAATTAATTTTTCAACAAAACCTGTTAAAAGCGGGGTTTTGGGGTTTTGGGGTTTTGGGGTTTTGGGG